TTAGTGGCAAAAAGCAACTTAAAATTTTATGGACGGTAGTAAAACAGCAGACTACTTTCACAATACCAAGGACTTGCTAAGCTATTTTCACAACTGCAATCACTCAAGACTAGTAACATGTTTAAATCATCCATAAAATTTTAAAGATTTCACTTTTGCTGCTAAGTCCATGTAGTTTGATAATTGTTTTCGGCATCAAATTTATTTAAAAAAAAAAAAAAAAAAAAAGGCATTTTTGCAAAATAATAAATATCTGAAGATAGAAGCATGTTTTTTTTTTGTCTTTTTTTTTTTAGAGGATAAGATAGGAAACATGTCACTTCCATTGCTCCATTCTAGCTGATGACATTTCCAACACTTAGAGCATAGAAAATTATTTCTACAGTTTATTTCAAAACATTTAAAATTCCACATATTGATATTTAAATAAAAAAATCAGAAATAATTGTAAGACATCAAAATTTTCAACAGATGATATTTTAGGCACAATTTTAGCCAAACCAATGAAGTTAGTGTTAGATGTAGCAACATTACTCAGGTTGATGTTAGTTTTTTTTTTAAAAATAAGAACTTTCAAATCCAAAATACGAGGAAAATTTTAAAAATATAAAAATATTTGATTTCTCCCATATTGGAATCAGTGCAAATGTGCTTGTGTTTGTCAGGACTGATTTCGAGCAAATTTTATGAGATGTATCTAATTAATATCCAAGTTTCCCCCAAAAGAAGAATTGTAAAAATAGTCATCAGCCAGATTTGAACCCAAACCTATGAAAGACAAAAACTGAGTATAAAAATTCAATTGAAAAACCTTTGTCTTATGGCTTTATGGTTCAAATTTCATGGTGCCAACATTTTTTTATCTTTTTTTTTTTAAATAACTCAGATTTTTGTTGGCTTCTACCAACTTTGACTCAAGGCCAAGATTATGGAGCACCCAGTAAGTAATGAGCTCAATAGCAACAGCATGCAAGACAAGAACATCAACGACTGTCTCACAGCAAATGCTTAAATAACTCATTGTTAGTTACCGTATTTGCTGGTGTCAAGGACACAGTTTCTTTCCTGAAAGTCTCAAAAAATTGCATAACATCAGGAGTTCTGGCACAGGTAACCTTCCTCTGGGGTTATAATAGGCCTATGAAAACTAACCATTGTCCTTGAGAACACACAGTAAATTTTCAAGACTTATTTCAGGAAACAAACTGTGTCCTGGATGCCGGCAAATACAATATGTGTTTTTAGGGTTTCTTTTTAAAAGAATTTTATTCTTCACACATTTTAGGTACTTTTTTTTTTAATCTAAATTTGTAGTTGTCTTTCAGGATATATTTTGGCCGATATCAATTTGGGCGTCATGGAAAAGATACATGAATACAATTACATATTCAGTTTTACACTGGACATATTAGAAACATAACAATGCTGCTCAGAGGATAAGGCTTTCTATTGTTCATTATAAAATGATTCAGAATTTATAAAATATTTCTTTAGACGTTTATTAATTACTGCCATGAAATTAAGTTCGAATATTAATGGCAGGAAGCATCAAAATGTATGAAAGAAAAGTAAAACGAAACAAATTCTTTAACCCTTTACCATTCAAACCTGGCCAAACCCAACCCATAAATATCAACCCTCAATGTTCAACCTGTCATAATCCAGAGTGTGACAGAAATACCTCCCACATTTTAAACTGTCACCTGTGTAGAGATAGTGGACTTAAGTGACAATGATGTCTTCATCTAGCTAATGTCTTACCATTTCTTTTTTTTTTTCTTTTCTCAGATACCATCAGTTATCACTATGGCTTGGACCAATGCACACCATGCATTTGCTGTTAAAACGTCTTTTAAGACTGGTGAATCTGTAATTGCAACACATAGAGCTTTTTGTGCGCATTTCATGTTACATTGGAATAATGCTGTTCCAGATAGAAAATCAATACTGCTATGAGTTGAAAATTCCAGGACCACAGGTTCAGCGCTTAAAAGAAAGCCACCTGGAAGATCTCGAAGCACTTGAACTTCCGGGTAATGGAAAACTTTAGAAATCATCTACAATAGAGGTGAATAGAGGCCACCATTTTGAGAATGTCAATTTTAAAACCAAATGACTAAAAACTGTTGCTACTTTGTTTAAACAACAATGAAATAAACTTTGTAATAACAGTTTTTGTCAAGTTTTAAAATGTGGGAGATATTTCTGACACACACTGTATATGATGACATCATTGCAAATAATGCAGTAAGTCATGCAAACAGTATTTCTTTGAGAGATGATATTTACAGGACAAGGTTTTAGAGGCCACCATTTTGAGGATGTGATTTTTAAAACCAAATGGCTAAAAACTGTAGCCGTTTGTTTAAAGAACAGTGAAATAAACTTTTTAACAGCAGTTACCTTGAGCTTTTTGCCAACTGTTAAAATGTGGGAGGTATTTCTGTCACATGCTCTATATGGTGACATCATTGCAAATAATGCAGGGAGTCATGCAAACAGTGTTACTTTGAGAGCCAGGTTTTAGCGTATTGAATGCTAAAGGGTTAAATTAACAAAGCCGAAAAAAAAGAAAAGTTAAATGACTGTCCTGACGATTCTGAAGAAACTACTCATGTTAAAGGATAAACACTGGCTCAGTGTTTTGAGGTGATTTGGGACATAGAAAAGAAAAAGCTAACAATGACAAACTATTTTCTATGCATTAAAATAAGTTAAAAATGTCATCAGTTTATGTGGGGAACCAGTAGATGTCATTTCATCAACAGTCTTCTTTTTTTTTTTTTTTTTTTTTTTTAAATCAAGCTAAATTATTTAGATCAACGTTCAACTGTCACCATACGAGAAAGAAACCATTTTTTAATAAGTTTCAATAACATTTCATTGACTTTTTAAGATCGTGGAAAACAAGTATCAAATAGCCACACAAACAAAAAATTCAAGTTAACATAACAGTTTGATTTTGAAACCTTTTTTTTTTTTTATAAAAAGTGTCTTAAACATTATATTTAGCAATCCAAATAAAATCTATTATCCTGCTGGCTGTTATATGGGCTCGCAAGACAGGTACACAGCCTCCTTTATGGCTGTAGAGGTTTTAAATTTTTTTTCTAAGTTTTATAAAATTACTACTATGTTCAACAACAGAAAAACAAATATACAACAACAATGATAAAGATTCAAAATAACAGTAAAAACAAGTTTTAAAAATTTACAGTAGACCAACTCTCATTTTTAAGCCTACACTAGGATTATGACTTTTTGACTAGTAACTGATTTCCTGTATCAATTCAATGAACATTTGTTCAAAAATAATGAAGGGTTTAATTCAGTTTTTTTTTTGTTTTTTTTTAAATGTCACCCCCAACACGAAATTTCTAAAATCATATATAAGTATAGTATTACTATGACTTTCTGGAGCCTTCTAGAACTTTCTGGAACATTCTAGACCCTGTTTTTGGTTATTTATAAGTTTGTATGTTATGCAATTGCTATAAACTGTTAAATGCATTCAAAATACATAAGTACTATCCAATTACATCATTAGCAAATTGAAAAATAAAGCTTCTGCAAATTTTTATTTATTTGTAAAGCTGAATGTTATGCTACAACTATAAACTGTTAAATGTGTTAAAATACGTAAGTGTTATCCAATTACATCATTAACAAATTGAAAATTAAAGCTTCTGAAATGTTTTGAATGTTTACCCTTATAGCATATATGGGAAAATTGCATTTTCAGTTTGGTGTTGACCTTTTTCGAGAACTGAAACATTAACACCTTTTTCATTACTTTTGAACAAAAGTTCATCGATGTATGACACAAGGACATAGGGTGACAAAAAAGTTATAACACGAGCCGACACACGCTGCTCATGAGCTAAGGCAGAGAAAAATGATATTGTCTCAACAAATATACTGCAGCTTAAGCCAACAGGAAACTTTTAATATTAATTTGATATGATTGTGATATTTGTTTTCTATGTCAAATACAAGAGCTGTTATTAAAAATAAAAAAACTAATGCATTATGAGAGCATCTTATTAGAAATAAAATGCTTTAAGTGCACTAGATGATAAACAGCCAACTGTGTTAGCAAGTCATTAAAATATGTCCTGGCATCCCAGAAAGATCTCACTTGATTTTTCTTAAATAATCTGACAAATATTTACTTTGAACAAGACGTCAGAATTTAGGAAAAAAACAGATAGGTAAATTGTTTTTTGGTTTTTTTTTTTTACTCAGCTAAATTAAATTTTGTTCATTGTGGTTATTTAACATTTGTTTTTATGATGTCGAAAAGCCTAACATTATTGATAATTGTAAGAAGGCATTACAGACATTATAGAAACAGTGTGACCACTTTTCAGCAGCCATTTTAAGGCAGTCATGCGAGCCCTCGTTTTTTACCTGCCAGGTAGAGGTTATTGTGATTATTAGTTGGTGAAAACTAGCGACACTGTTTCTGAAAACTGTCGAAAGGTTTTATGAGTAACTTTTTTTTTCTTTACTATAAAGTGTCTGTATTTTCTCATTTTTCTTTTTTTTTAGTTAATAATCAGTAATAATTCTTTAAATTAATAATAAGTAAGATCCAAAGAGTTTCAACAGATTTTCCATTTATCTTTCTCGTGATTTGAATCTTTCTTTCTTTTTTTTTTAATTAGTGGCCACTAATGTTCAATAGACAAATGAGAAAAGATGAAGTAAATATGGAGGATTATAATTCATTAATATGACAAATACAAATGAACCATCTTGAAGAAACTGTTTGGATATTAAATAGCAATGTTAATTTATATTTCAATCTACACAATTTTTTTTTTTTTTTTTAACAATACCAGAAAGCACAAGAATGTTAACTGAAAAACTTACAAAAAAGGATTTTACACAATAAAATAACGTCTGAACATTGACTTATTTTTTTTTCTTTAAATCTCTAAAATGATATGTGGGTGTTTCTAGTGCATGTCTGTAGCATAATATTATTTTGACAGAGTTTACTCTGCCAAAGTTAAGAAGCCCTTCAGCTTTGTCGGAATGGGGAGTTCTCTCACAGTGCTCACAATCTCTTGTCCTCCACGAATGTCCAGTAAATAATTACGGATATTTTGCCGACACAAACTGGCCAGTGTCCAGGGTGTGGAGCGCATATGCTTCAGCCACTGGTGGAAGATGGATTGTTCCTCTGTCTTTCCTGGCAAATCAATCCAAGCCTCTTGGTTCAGGTTCCAGCCAGCCTGTACTAAGAAGCGAGCTGCCTCGTAACCCCCATTCCATACCAACCAGCAAAGAGGAGAATTCCTACAAATAGAAAGAATATTTGAAAACTATGGAGGGAACACTCAGGCAGGTATTCAAAGAAGACGAAAACAAAAACAAAAAAATACAAAGATTAGAAACTGACAAATAAAGACTGGTGAGGTGTGTGGTGGGGGTGACCAGTACTAAAATCCAAGACATTATGAATACCATCATACTTTTGAAGAACTTTCATTATACCACCAAAATGTCTGGAAATTTGGTATTTTTGTACACCTGTACTTAAATCACTTTATTTTAATGAAACATCACCCATATTTTTAAGTAGTTGTATTCTCATATCCAATATACCTGTGTTATGAGGATGAATCATGCAATTGATGTCCTTGTGACAACTCTTTAAACTAGGGATTCTCAACAAGGGGGAAGTTCCACCCATCACGGAGAAATTTCAAGGTTTCTAGGGTTTCTTTTACTTTTTCTTGTTTTTTATTTACAGAATTTTGTTTATTAAATTACAATACCCTGGCATTCTACTGAATTTTTTGTTTATTGAAACATGCTTCAGTTTCTTTATTTAATAACTAGTTATGAATTAAAACAAATTACTGTACATATATTCAAGTTTAAAAATTCATCAACATTTTCTGTTGATATGAAATTTGTAAAACTTCAATAAAAATAATTCATGTAAATGTGTATCATAGGGAAAAGAATGAAGATTTTCAATAATATATTAATAGTATTTGGAATGCTCTTTTTGAATTGGACAATCTTGGAAAAAAAGGAAGGAATGGCATTCTGACTTATGGTGAAAAGGGTACATTGGGCAAAAAGGTTGAAGACCACTGCTTTAAACAAATAAGCCTTCATGTCCTTGGGACAAAACTTTAAACATATAATCTCATCCTAAGTACTAAATAAGATATCAAACACATGGCTAGTGGATGGGGTCAGTTTGGTGCTGAAATTTCAGAAAGTGCCCAGATACTAAAATGGTGGTACCAAATGGTGTTTTGGTTGACAAACAAAAAATAAAAACATGGAAAATCTTGATATTTTAGTACACACACCAAAATACATTGTGTTCCAAAAAATTACATTACCCTTGATAACATTGTAAATTTTATATTTATTTACCAAATAGAGTCATGCTTCTGTATGTGACAATATATTAGTAAAAATTTTATTCATCGAATTATAGAAGATAATGTCCTGCAAATTTTTTTCCTGGTTGCTATTTCACAAGTGTATGTTTTCTGCCAATTGTCACATGACTTTTGGAACACACTGTACATTCAAAATTTTAATAGACACTAGCACAGTACTAAACATCTTGGATCTTGTTACCATCCTCCAGTGTGGAGACATGCTTGTTGAGAGACACTAAGGATAAATTCTTTAATTTTTGCCACCACAATTGCATTAATTACTCAATTAGTTCAACATCTTTTGACATATAGACAATAATTTGACATGAGATAAACCAAAATATCATTTTGTAATTTAGTTTAAACACATTCTTCGCAATACACAGATTTCTTTTTTATTTGGAAAATGAATCCTAAATTCAAATGGAATTAAATGTATCCGGTCAATTCACATCTATTTTTAAAACTAAAATCTTTCAAATCAGTTAGCTAAGATCAGAAAATAATAACATGCAAATTAAAAAAGTAAGTCATTTTGCACAATCTTTAAAGTGAATGAAAATTTCAGTGTATTTGTTTAACCCATATCTTACTGGTGTTAGTTTAAACTGACATTATTCCACTCCAACCACAATTAGTAGAATTAGTTTTTTTTTTTTTTTTTAATCAATTAGTGCCACTAAGATGCAAGGGGTTACTGGGAATGAAAGAGAATAAAAAGACTTTAGACGAAACCAGGAAGCCAATCCTAAGGTTGACATTTGCTTGATCAAAATGCTGTTATTCTTAATTTTAACAATCTTAATTATTGATTGATTGGTTTGCTTAACAGCATATCAACTTATGGGTTCATTTAAAGCCAAAATTTAATTTTCTTGGAAGGTTGGAAGTAATAAAAGTATGATATATGTTTGTGCATAGACATGTTTGGATGGACATGATTACTAGAGGTGGTGACGTGTGTTTATGTTGTAGTTTTGTTGAAGTTATATTTTGGAATACAAATTGATTGTAGGATATTATATGGATTAATGTCATGAAAGAGTTATTACATGCTGGTTGCTTGGTTGATTTTATTTAATGGCAAATTAACACCTCTATGGCTTATTTAATGCCATAATCTAAATATTTTGAACGCAATTGCATGCCTTCAACCACAGATAAAATGTATTGTTAGTCATTTATTTTGCTATATTTTGTTGGTAATTCTACTATAAATAGGTATTTTTGGTAATTTTTTTATACAGGATGCGATGGATAAATTGTCGTCTAAATTACCCCAAAAAAATTAATAATAACACTGATATCTCATTTTAACAAATATATTTACTAAAATTACAGAATAATATCTTGAAATACTTAAGAGTAAATTTACTCAATAAAATTGCCATCGGCTTCAACCACAGCTGCCAGACAACTTTGGAATCTCCAGCAACTATTCTGGACAGTCTCCTCGTTTAAGTTGATGAATGCTGCCATAATCCTTGCCTTCAGTTCATGTTAGAAGGAGTTTTGTTGGTCTCTCGCTCAACTACACCCCACACATAATAATCAAGGGGTTTGCAGTCTGGGGAGTTAGGTGGCCAGATGTAAGGAGTGATGTGGTCACAGAAATTGTCTGACAGCCGTGACTTGGTTCTGCTGCTTGTTTGGCATGGTGCTGAGTCTTGCTGCCAGACATAGGGCCTCCCAGCAGCCACCGTCTTGACCCAGGGCAGCACTACCTCATCAAAGCACTTGATGTAGGCCTCTCTGTTGAGTCTGAGGTTCTGTGGGAAGATAAATGAAGGCATAAAATCACCATCACTAGTTATCACTCTAAACACCATGATGTTCACTGGATATATCATCCAACTATTTCTGATTCCTCTGCACTGTCCTCCTCAGATTGACAGCCAAACACTCTGAAATGTTTGTATTGGAGCTTCCGGCATGAATACCAAGCAGTACAGCATACCATTTCCAAATTTCAAACAGAGTGAATTGCATCTTGGTGCTCTTTGTTCTCACAGATGATGCCCAACTGACCCTACTATACTGTACAGTTGACAAAATCAACAACAAAAAATGTGCATGTGCAAAATTAAAGATCTAAAATAGCAACAATTTACCTATCGCATCCTGTATGTTTGTGCATATACATATTTGTGTGGACATAATTACTAGAGGCAATGATATGTGTGTTTTATGTTGTCATTTTGTTGAAGTTATATTTTCGAATACAGATTGTTTTAAGAGATTGTAAGATATTATATGGATTAATGTCATGAACGTTCCTACATGTTGGTCATTTCGTTGATTTTGTTTAACAATATATCAACCTCCATAAGTTATTTAATGCCAAAATCTAAATATTTTGATGATAATTGTATGCCTTCAACTACAGATAAAATGTATTGCGGGTAATTTTACTATAAAATGTATTGTTGATAATTCCACTATAAACAGACATTGTTGGTAATTTTTTATATAAAAATGTATTGTAGGAATTTTTACTATAAGAATGTATTTTTATACTTTTATAGTGCTTTGTCGTTGCTTGGGAATTCACTATTTGCCCATAGCTGGGACCCTAACAGGTTTTACCACACAGGATCAGGGTGGGCCTGCGAATGTTCCATGCTCCACAAAACTTCCAATCTCCTAATATGGTTTCAATTAGTCAATGTATGGCTATTTTAGAGGGTGTGACGGACAGATGGACTAATGGAAGTCACAGAATTTTATATATAGATTCTTGTTCTTTTATTCTTCTCTCTCCTTAATTGTTTTTTTCTCATATTTCCTAACATTCAGTAACCCTTTACTTCTTAGTGACTTTATTGCCTTGTTTGGAGTGAAATGATTAAAAAAACATTACCCTCTTTTAGATGTGGCCCAGTTAATAGACAGAGAAGCCTGGTGGAGAGTTAGAAAATTAATGGCAATGTCATATACTGGTTTATTGTTTAAAGCCATGCTAGATAAGATTTCAGTATGGGGTGGTTTTCTCTGTTCATTACAGATAGAATTGGGTAAACTCCCTCTTTGTATAAATAAGAATCATCCAAGTTATATGGGTGACAATGAATGGTATCAGCTGCATATCTTATATTACAAGAATGAACCAAATTAAGTAGTATATAAGCAACCACCTTGTGTAAAAAGAAACAGATACCTTTCTTATAAATATACAGTTGAAGAAGGCTGTAGAAACTAAAAGATTGTAGAAATATCAACAAAAGAGGAATTGTCCAAATAAATCTTGAAGAAAAAAAGTAGAAAGAAGAAAGCAGTACTCATTAGCAATGACTTGTGAGACTAGCACGCTAAGCAGTATTGCATGACAGGTGCAGAACAATGCAGCTAGACGTGCATGCAGGTAGAGATAGGCAGGCTGAATCATAGTTTGGCCTATTCAAAAAAAAAAAAAAAAAATGCATTAGCCATGACTGATTTTCACACTCTACTCTGTCTTTTTATTGTCCATGTTCAATTGAGCTTCTCTATACTTAAAGTCTAATTCTGCTACAGGGAAAATAAGAATGAGACTGACAACGGCGGGGAAGGAGAGCAAAATAAAGAGGTTGAAAAGCCATTGTCAATCCAGTAGGGCTTGCATACTTAATTCACCTGCATACTTACAATCCAATCAAACTATTTTCAAGAGAACCAAGCACAAGAGACAAAAAACAATAAAGTTTTCAAACTATTGCAACAAAGCAGTTTATTTCTCTCTGAATTTCTGAGATAAGAAGTTAGAATTGTTTACAGTCAGACTAAAGTCTTCATTTTTCTTTTTGTTACCACATTTCAGCCATTGTGCACTTTCAAACCAAGCCATTTATATAATCTACTCCTATAGATTAAATAAAGTGATCAATTTAGAATTCAAAATGTAAAAATGACAGC